TTTGTGGAGAGATCTACCATAATTCTGGTGGGCTTTCCATTATAGGTGATCTGTTTGTACTCTCTAAGAAATTAGGGTATTCTGTTCTTTTGCTGAATTTGTGGGATCTTAGCTATTATGTGTCAGGGTGAATATTTTTTTGATTATGATTAGCTGGAGTTTTATATGCTTCAGTTACTATATATCAGATTCTTTTTCTATGCTGGGAAATTTTCTGGTATTGTTTCAGCAAATGCTCTTTTTATGTCTTTTGTGTTATCTCTAGCTGTTTCATTGATACCTATTAGTCTTATATTGTTTTTCTTTGTATCATCATGCAACCATTTTATTACTTCCTGGTTCCTCATTATTTCAGAGATCTTTCATTTTGTGTCACTAGCCGCCATACTATCTCAAGATCAGAAATTCTCTTTCTGTTTTGTTCTAGCAGTTTTGCCAGATTTTAATGGACTTCTTAATGTACTAGATATCTGTTTCATGCATTCAAGACTTTTTTCTGTATTTTTCATTCAATGTTTCTATCATTTTCTTATTCCCTTCTATTTTTTCTACATCTTCCTTAGATGTAGTGAGTAATTCTTTCACAGCTGTTGTCATTTTCTTTTACTTGAAAGATTATTTCTGATCTGATTTCATCCATAGCCTGATGGAGTTGCTTCTTTACTTCAGTTACTATCATTTCAGAAATTTCAGGTGTTTGACTTCCAGGTTCTATGACCTTGTCTCCTGGACTTGTTTTTAGTGGGCTAGAGATCTGAGATTGCCTTTTGTTCCTTCTTTTTGTCATTTTTCAAGCTCCCAATGTTCTCCCTGACTCTGAAGTGATGGTAAGGGTCAGGGGTGTGGGTCAGCAAGACCCTCAGGAGAGTGGATGGTAGTGTAGGCTCTGCAAAACTCTTGTTGTGTCAGGTTCACTGTAGCTTCCACCTCTACTGGAGGGGAGCAAGCCACAACTCAAAAAGAATCTTATGATGATGAGTGCAGGTTGAAGTTCTGCAAGCATTTCTTGATGGTTGTCAGTGCATGGTAAGGTTCACAAAGGTTTCCAAATTTTCCTGTTGTAGTACTATGGCACCTGGTTTTAGGTCCCTGTGGTAATCTTCCTGGGAAATGATGAGTGGCCATAGCTCAGCCAAGCCCCAGCAGAGGTGAGAGGTCAGGAAAAGGCTCACCAGGTGCCCTTGGCAGTCCTCTAGGCTGAAACAGAAGGCTGGGCTTTAGCCAAGCTCCAACAAAGGGGACAAGAGGGTCATACTAAGTCTTCCTGTCAGTCTTTCAGGTAAGGATGGGCATCCAGGACTCAGAAGAAGTCCAGCCACTCTGACGCATGCTGAGGTTAAGCCTGCCAGGTCTCCTTGGCAGTCTTCAGGGTGATGATGGGAAGCGTGGAATAAGGAGCTTTGGTTATGGTGGGGCAGGGTGGGGCTAGACCTGCCACATCTTCTTCACAGTTTTCATGATAAGGATGGGAAAGCAGGGCTCAGAAACATCAGAGTTTGTAGTGAGGGCAGGTCTAGGCCTACCATGTCTCCCTGGAAGTCTTCAGAACAAGGATGGGTGGCCAGGAATCAGAATAAGTCCAGTGATGATGAGGAGACATGGCGTTGGTCTGCCAGGTCTTCCTGGAGGTCTTCAGGTTGGGGACAGATGGCTGGGGCTTAGAATGGCTGGGGCTGATGGATGGTCCCCATTATTGTCTTAGGAAATATGATTTTTTTGCCAACATAAAAATGCCTTTATTAGTTCTGAAATGATTACAATATTCATAATACAAGAATTCATTCATCCAATTGTGTTAGCCTCAAGAATTTCTAGATCTTGGGTGTTTTTAAACTATGTTATATATTAGTGTGCTTATTTGATGCTAAGGATGCCATCATCTAACTCAAATGGCTTAGTCAATCATCTACATGCCCATTTTAGAATATGTTGTGACATTTAGGATAAAAGATGTAATTTCTATTCATGTGTAGTTATTAAATCTGGCCAAAGTTTTAAGACAAATAATTTTTATATATGGCACAGAACTAATCACAAATATGTGCTAAATTTTTACTCTCAATGGCCAGATATTTACCAGTGCAAGTGGATAGTTAGAATTTGTAAAACAAGAGGCTGATTTTATTATGAATTTCACATACACACATTAAAAATTGTTTTACTTGGATGCTTTAAAAAAGTATTAAGTTCACCAAATCTAGAATACTGTCAGTGTCAAAATCTTAAACCATAAAATTAGCAAATCAAAGGCACTGTATTAACATACTTAAAATTAGTGCTCACAAGACATTAGGACGTGCTTTAAAATAGTGTTATAATCTAGATTAAAAACTTTTTAGGAATAACAGAAACAAGAAGCTCTTAATTATTACTACCCATCAATTCTAAGACTAAGATGCTATTTTCCATAAAAAGAAAAACTAATAGTCATAATTCAATCATAAAATCTAACTCTCAGACTTTAAGAATGAATGATTGATGAACATAGTCTCTAGACTTGATTAAAAACATATGGGAAATCAAAAGAGGTATAAAATCATTGAAAAATGTATTTAAAATATAGGTCACACTAAATTAACTAGTATTCATGGCTTAAAACTGGATAATCAAGTCTTTAATCCCAGATTAATGTCAGCAGTGCGACAAGTGATAATATGCTATTTTCATATATAAACTGCTAATATCATTTGTCAAAAGGAGGTAATAGTTGTCTATCACAATCTAATACCCACTTTGCAATGGTGTCTGTAAACAGTTACAAATTCTGAACCAAAGTTATACAAATTAAGTCACAAAAATACCAAAAGTCCCTGGAGAAAGGGAGTCCACCTAAGAATTACAAATAGAAGGAAACACTTCACAAAGTTTCATTACTATGAAGATGATTTCCTTTTTGTTCAAATTTTGCACAAATAAATGTTTTTACTGAAGGAAATAAATGGTAAGTAACAGTGCATTTAGGCATAAATAAGCATTTATGTATGGTTCCAGTATGGTCAGATTAATACATAAATACTTTAGAAACACAGAAGTTCACATCAGTGAAAAATATCCAAGTTTTTCATATAACCACTCTTCAGTTAGATCTTCGGTATTTCTTATTGCAAATACCTTGGTTAATTCCACTGTCTGGGCTAACTTGTTCTTACACCTTGTGTACATCATCTGCTGCTCAGGCTTACACCCAACAGGACTGGAGAAAACAAAGCACAGAGAATATGAAACTCTTCCATCATCATGTTGATATTTATAACTATACACAATGAAGGTCGAGGTTGTCGTTCAGGCAGCTCATCCTTAAGTTCATCTGGTGAAATGCCCTCAAGGTCTATGTCTGGTACCACCAGGCATTTGTCTTAATTGATATTCATTATAATGGCAGCATTGTTTGTTTCTTTGCAAAAATAAAACTTTCTCAGTTCTTCCACTAAATATTCAGCAAAATTACAAACCACCAAAGATTCACTCATTTTCCTTCTGGCTGGCTGCAGCCCATCACCTCCTCTTCTGTCCCTTTAAGAATGGTTGGAAATATGATTTTTTTTAAAAACTAAGGGCAAACATTTTATCTTGAGGATGGAAACAACCTTTTAAATTAATCACCTTAAAGGAAAAATATAAAAACTTCTCTTTCAGTGCCAATTGTAATGGAGAGAGAACCACTCTATTTCCTGCTTTTCTGTGTTCAGGTTAAATCCTGAGGGGATTTGACTGACCTTATCAGATACAAAAGCTACTTTTCTTGTTACATAGGTCTTGCTTTATCTTGGTCTTAACAATGCAGCAGAGAAGTATAATAACAAGGTATAAGAAGTAATGCCATATTAATATGCTGAGCTACAAAAGGCTCAAGTCAACAACTTCTCACTTTTAGTTTGTTACTTTGGGACTTGGTGAGCTACTAGCAGCACTTCAATTGTCTTAGTATTGGGAATGGATTTCCTCATGTACATTGCCCACCCCAAGCTTTACAGGGGCTATAGCTCTGTAGCCAAGGCCACTGTGCACAGCCACTGTTTGTGTTGGCTGCCGCTTTGGCTCTGGCCAATGGATGTTTTGTTTTTGCCTGGGCAAGCACTATCTTGAGCCTAATAAATTTTTAATGCCAGCAGCACATATAGTGAAGGCCAAGACCCTGGTGAACCCTAGTCATGAAACTCCTACTTATCACCAGGCACATAGGACTGTAGTTGGTGGTGCTCATCAAGGGGGCTGAACTAGGAGCACAGATGCACAGGTACCTGGGGAATCCCAGATGTGTTGGCCTAGGACTGGAGGGTGGGGTCCTCCCCAAACCTGGCATGTGTACCTTACCCAGTGGCATCTTTGCTGTGTTGCTTGGAACTAGCTGCTTGCAATTTAAAATAATGTTTTTCTTTTCCATCTGACTGAGCAAAGCTGGAAGGTTTAAACAGTAACTTTGCTCCACCATCCTTGTTCTGTTTGGGAATTGATTTTGAAACAGTACTCCACACTAAGTTCTTTTTGGTGGTCTTAAAAAGTAAAGCAAATGCAGGAACCAAGAAAACAACATTTTTACACACATCTATAAACATCTGTGGTTCCTGAAAGTGTTTGTCCCATTTTAACTCAATATCCCTTTCTCTTTTTAGACTTCCTTCAAACCATTTCTCTCTTTATGCTCATTTTTAATGTATTTAAGGTCAGTAGACCCTCATGTCCATGTTTTTCACCTGACACTTGTCAATGTAATACTCTAGTGCTAACTATTAACCTATGCATCCATTTGTCCACTCTAGCTATCTAGCCATCCATCATTCTCTGTTCATCCATGCATTTACCTGTCTACCCATCCATTCATCCAAAATGAGTTATCTTATTTACTCACACTTATTTCACCATGCATTTCCTTCTGCTAACCACCTAAATCATCCTTAATGTCAGACTCTCAGCCTATCTCTAAGTAGAGGATCCCATCTACAGGGACCTTATGGTAGACTTTTCATTATAACTATCTTCCATCTCTGTCTCTTTTTCAGTGCCTCCTACAGTAACAGTTTTCCATTCTCCAGTGTCCTCTGGCTTGGTGACAATTACCTGCCATGTGCAGAGATTCTATCCAGAGAATGTGCACATCACTTGGCTGGAAGACTGCCATCCTTTCAAGGGAACTGAGGAACTTGTGTCCAAGAAGAATATTGATGGCTTATATATGAAGGAAAGCTCACAGTTGGTGAATACATCAGTTCAAGGGCTTGAGCGAGTGTTTACTTGTAAGGTTCAGCAAGAGGAGCAGCCTACCATCAAGGCCAGCCTCATATTGCCCAAAGCACCCTACACCATAGACAAGCCCACTGGGAGCCCAGGTAAATTTACTTCTTTTTTCATAGGCAACTGGTTCAGGATTTCAGGATGCACTGGGAGAGGGGAGCTTGATGATAAGTGAGATTTTGTCCAATTTTGGTGTCCTTGAATCTTTCAACAACCAGATTAATTTTTATGCAGTGGCTTTTGTTAGATGTAGCTACTTGAAAAGATTGTTTTTTTGGTTTTATTTTCAGCTTTTATTTTTATTAATATGTATATGTTTATGGTATGTAATGATTAAATATTTTTGTGGGGAGCTGGTACATGCACATAACACATATCAATTCTTTTTTAAAATCTTTTTTCCTTTTCTTTTCCTCTCCTTCCATCTTTTTATTCCTTTCCCATTTGTAAAAGATCTATTTTTTTCTGATTCCTATTAATTATCTTTTATTTTGCTTTTTACTTATATTTTGGGTTTTCCTTACAAGAGGCCAGAATAGCAGGAGCAATCCCGGGTAAGAAGAGCAAAGCAGGAAACATCACAATACAAGATTTGAAATCATATGACAAAGTTACAGTGATAGGAACAGTATGGTACTGACAAATATGCAGTCATGTGAGTCAATAGAGCAGAATGGAGGCTGCAGTTACAACCTCTGGTGCAATCAATTATTTGATCTTTAACAAAGGTGGCAAAAGCATATACTGGAGGAAAGATAGCTTCTTTAAAAAATAGAGATGGGAAAAATTTGTTATCTATGTGCAGAAGATTCAACATAGACCCATATCTCTTGCCATAGATTCTTTCATTTCTGTGAAGAATGCATTACTAGCTCAACCCCCTTTGGTCTATAAGAGTACAGCTTAATAATAACTTACTAGTGAGTCCAAGATGGTTGTTAGAAAGACTTTCTTGTTTAAAATAGTCTGAGTTGTGTGGTGAAAAATTGTCTGTATATTGTTCTAAAAGACTTACTTGAGCAGCCTCACCTCAGGCTGCACAGTGTCTGCTGTGATGACAGAATAGGCTTTTCCATTTAATTCTTGTGCAGACATATGAACTTCCTGTATTCAGTTTGCTCTATAGTAACTAGAACCTAAGAAAAGTTCTTTCTTGTTCATAGAGCCTATATAATGGTTAAATGAATTAATAATGGTATGTACTACATGTAGTCTACCATACATCAATTACTATCAGTAACTACTGTTACTGTTATTTGAATTGGGATAAAATTATTTTAAAATTCCTTTGATTCATTGTGTCAACTTGAGAAGTTTAGAAATTTAATTAAGTGATTCAGGAGGGGGCTAGGGTCCTTACTTTGTAAATATCATGAACTTGGGGCCAGGGAGATGGCTCAGTGGAATAAGCGCTTCCCTGGCAAGCGCAAGAGCCTGAGTTCAACCCCTGGTTCTGGGGAAAAAAAAAATATATATATATATATATATATATATATATATGAGCTTGTGGAAAAGAAGGGCATGGAGATGGTGCAGAGATAGCAAGCACACAATATAAGGGAGGAAAAGAGGCATCTTTTCTTTCTTACTCTTGTGGCTTTTGGCTTCTGCTGCCTTGAACTGTTGTCCCTGTGCCATGCCACCCTGCCTTGGAGACAGCTGAGTGTGGACTGAAACCTCCACAAACTGTGAGCTAAGTAAATCTTTCCTTCTTAAATTTTGGGTTTTGTGTATTTTGTCTCAGCGGTGAGAGAAAAATAAAGACAGAATGTTATGCCACTGAGTCCCTATCTCACAGAGATTCATTTTGTTCATCCGTAAATTTTGATAATGATAGCAATTCTCTGAGAGTAAAGTTTACATTAAATGACCACAAGACCTTAGACAATTGGCAGTGAGTGTAATGAGCTCTGTACATTTGAAGTTATTTGTACAATGAGTGTCATTCACATTGTCTGATGGATATCAGGTATTCAAATCAGCATTTATCGTGTGAAATTCAAAGCCTCACAAGTCAAACTCATCTTTTTTCTGAGAGCAGACAGAAAGGCAGATAAATAAGCAAGCCAGCTCAGGATTGGAATCTGATCAGGTACCTCTTGCTGTTTCTGGAACTTTCTGTCTACCTAACTTCAGATATAACAAACTCACATTTGATGGGTATTTCTGCTTTGTGGCATTTAGGTCAAGAGACATCTGCCTTCATTTTTGTGGCCTTTCTCCTGGGCTTCAAGGTTCTTTTTGTGATGAGTTTCACAGTCACCTATATCTATAGGTTGTGGAATATCTAACAGGTGAGTTTTTTGGGGGGTCTTATTCTTTAGGGAGAGAGGTCAAAGCCATAGTCAGGGACTAACAAAAGAGGTCAGGGCAAGTTCACAAAGCCACAGGGGGCCCATGAGGGTGCCTATGCATGTGAGCCAGCCTAAGCACTTATGAGTACTTATGAGTACTCTCCTTTTTGATCTGCAAATATCTCCTAGAATTCTCAGTGGATTTCAACACTATGCATTCTGTAGAACCTTGGAGTTGGAAAAATTTCAAGTTATGTGCTTGGGACCCTGGAGGGGGGACTTGATAGTGTGCGATGGAATGCAAGTGACAAAAACTCCAGAGTTCTTCCCATACACTGCTACATATTTCAGTTTTCATGTAACATATTTGCAACAAATAAGAAAATGTTACTGAAATAAACTAAGAGAACATATCAAAAAAAAAATTGGAGATTCTGACTGGTGGCAGAGATGAATATGGGTATGGTTGGGAGTTCAGAACCCAGAAAGAGGTGCTGGGTAATAGTGAGTGGGTTTATTTTTGACTTGTACCATGAACTCAGATCCAGAATACCTGCCACATGCAATAGTAGGGCTCAATAAATATACTGTATATGGAATTAAGACATGAATTAACAAACAAATGAGTCAATGATGTTTTCTCTACAGCTCCTGCATGCCATGTGATTGATACATTGCTTCTGACACTCTTCCAAGGGCTAAAGTGAAAACAGAAGCCCCGAGGAACATGACCCTTCTCTTTTCTTTGCCATTCCAGTACAGACCTTCTCTGTCTCTAACCTCTCCTCATGGTTCCTTCCCCTTGGGCTTTTGGGCTGGGTCAGAGATGGACTTGAGTCAGGGGACTTGGGGATGTCTTGATTATGATGTATTAAATTTCTTTACTTTTATTTTTTAAAAATAATTTTATTGAGAAACAAATAGCAATGAGTTTGAAAACTGATGAAAAAGAGTTTCAATAATTAATGCATTGCATATTGTTGTCTTATTGGTTATTCATTGTACAAGATGCAGACATAATATCCTATCCACAAACACTTTTAGAATAAATCTTTCTAATCATTGAATTAAGAGAATGTAGCTGTTATATTATGCTAACTATTTTGAACATACAGATACAAAATGGTCCTTCATTTGTATCCCCTTTTTTTGTTTAGTTTTGCCAGAGAATGGTATTCCATTGCCATTTAAATATTGTAGGTGTGTGAATTCAGCACAATATTCCAATATAGTCCAGTTGTTCATAATAGTAGTGGATTTTCTGTAAGATTGTCAATGTCAGAAGTTGTTGACTTGTGCCTTTTATAGCTCAGAATATTAATATGGATTTACATGTACTAAATTCCAACTTGGCTTTACTTCCATATGAAGGAGAATGAAGTTAACTGGGAAAAATAGAAGTAAGCTCTGCCTTATTCATGAACAATCTTTAATTTTCAGAAGAATTTCATTTTTACCCAGGCTAGTAACACATAGAAAACTTGAAATTACTGGCTTATTGTGTAAGCTTTTTTTTTCTGTTCTGAAATTACTAAATATCACCATAAAAATATCCCTGAACCTATCTTCCTAATCTTGCAAAATATTAGCAATTTGCCATTATATTATCCATTCTTTTTAAAAATCTTTGTTTTAAGTTTGATGTTTATATTTCTTAAGTGTGATATTGTATCTTTATTACATAGGTATGCACTTGCAAATAGTATATAGCATTATTTTCCATATTTTCTATTTATGCTGTTATTTTGTATATAGCATTTTGGAACTGTTTTGTGCTTAACTCAGCTTATGAATTTATGCTTGTTGATGTGTTTGGTTCTGTGTTATTAATTTTTCAGTATTGTATGACCTTCTATTGTAAGAATATGACAAAATTCATTAATTGTTGCTATAATGGATATTGAACTTTATTAAATATTTTTCCATAGTTTTAAAAATTTTATTTTAAAGAGTAAAAGCTAAAACAGCAGAAAAAATAGCAAAAGCAAAGACAGAAACAGAGTAACATACAGCAGTATATGTGCTATGGAATTTTAAAACAAGAATGGATCTTGATCAAAACCCAGGCACGCTGCATGAGTGAGAACCTCTACCACGCACTGGGGATTGCTCCACACCTCTGGAGTCCCCAACCCCAAGCCTGCCAAGTGAGTGATAACTTCTGCGACACTCTTGAGACCCCCAGATCCAGCCCAGCCCAGGCCTGGAGAGTGTGTGGGAGAGCTTCTGGCTTCCTTGTGCACACGGGACCACTCTGGACCAAAAAGAAGGCATACCACGTGAGTGAGACCCTCAGCCTTGCCCTGAGGACCCCTCAACCCCTCTGGAACCCCCGCCCCCAAGCCCGCCCAGTGAATGAGAACTTCTGCGATGCTCTTGGTACCCCAGATCCAGCCCAAGCCCAGGCCCAGCTACTGCGTGGGAGAGCTTCTGATTTCCCCTGTAGCTTCTGGGCCAGAGGCACAACAGAGAGTCACGACAGGTTCACTGTTGTGCCAGAGGGGGACAACAGATTCATTTCCAAGGGCTGCAGCCAGAAGGAGCTGAACACAACAGCTAGACCAAAGCCAGACATAACTGGATAAACTCAAACTTAATAGATCTGCACCCAAATTTCAGTAGGTGCTAAGGTTATAACTTCACTAAACGTTAGAGGTCAGTGCTATACAAAATGAGAAAGAGAAGGAGCAAAGTTCAACCTCAGACCTTGAGCCCACCCAGAACAAGTGCAGAGGACACTAGTTCAGCTGAAATGTATGAATTAATAGCATCAGAAGTAAAGAAACAGCAGCAGAAAGGTACAGAGGAACTCAGAGCAGAATTAATTTCTGAAATAAAAAAGAAATCTCTGAATTAATAGCATCTGAAGTAAAGAATCAAATACAGAAACATAGGGAGGAAACCCAATCTGAAAAAAAAAAACTCTGCTGTAACAGAATTAATAACTGCTTATAAAGAAGATATTGATAAAAAATAGAGATTAGAAAAATGATGGATTCCTTGAATGAGAAATACAGGAAAGAAAGAGATCACATCAAGCAGATTCAAAGATATATAGAGGAACTTAAAATCTCAATCACAAGCCTGCAAAACCATTTGAGTGAAAGTGAACACAGAGTTTCAGATCTTGAAGAAGATGGTGCAGGTAGTGAAAAGGTAAGAAAATATTTCTTTTTTCCCCCCAATATTATTAAGAAATAAATAGCAATGAGACAGTTTCAAACCAAACTGGTAGGACAGTTTCAATAATTAACACATTGCATACTTTCTTCCTAGTGGTTAATTGCTGTACAAGATGTGGACATGATATCCTATTTACAAACACTATTAGAACAAATCCCTCTATTCATTAAGAGAATGTAATTATATATCTATCCTAACCATTTTGAATACACAGATACAAAATAGACATTTATCTCTATCTCCTTTTCTTGTTTAGTTCCATTATTTGATATTATAGGTGTGTTAACTTAGCAAAATATTCTAAAAGAGTCCAGTAATCCATAATAGTATTGGATCTTCCACTTCACTGGCAATGTCAGAAATTGTTGACCTGAGTCCCCTACAGCTCAACATAGCACCATGGATTTACTTTTTATACTTCGTTTTTATACTTTTCTGCTGAATGGTTAAGACCAAGGTAAAACAGGAACTATGCAATAAGAGTTGTAGCTTTTGAGTCTAATAAGGTCAGTGAAATCCACTCAAGATTTATCCTGAGATCCTGTACCTCAGATTGTAGATCCTTTGTCAGTGTCAGCCATGTGGATGAGTCACGGCCATTGCTTGGCCAATGTGCTCTATGTGAAAGCCTGAGAGAATGTTTTCTCTCCATGTGACTCTCCTTAGGCACAATCTACCTCATCAATCACTTTCCTCATTGGCTGTATAATCTCCTTGATCAGAAATTTTAGGACACTACCAAGATACATGACGTTACATTACAAGTCCTCATATGTCCTGAGTCTTAACTGACCTTGGAAGGCTACAGCCAAAATGTTGGCTTTCCTTGTGGCACTCCTTTTTCTCCAATTTTCATCTGCAAACTTAGGCTGTTAATGCTCCAGAAGAGAAGCTTATTGTTATTACCATACAACCTAGGCTGATAAGCTTATCATCACTATCTGTCTGAATATCAAACATCTTAGGCATAACATAGAACAGGTATTTTTTTTATCAAGTATTGATATGTTGAACTTTAAGTCCCTACAGAATATGATGAAAAATGTTTTAAAGATTAGAATATATTTTAAAAATAGGCATAAAAATTATATAATTCTTTTGTTTACACATAAGTCCAAAAATCTAACCATATACAACCTTGAAGCAGAACAGACCCACAACATTCCTTTTCCTGTCTCCTACCTTCATTCACCACTCCCTTCTTTTAGACCAGTGATGTACCAAAGAGACAGCACAGCAGCAACTGGCATGTCATGACAAGTAGCCCATATTCAGAAGACCAGAACGACAGGCATTCCATGCATGAACCTACTATTACAGATTGTCATCTTCAGAGCAGTTGCTTAGTTCACAGGTGTCAGTATATATAGTTAGTCAGGGTGAAAATCTTTCCAATTAACTGCTAGATTCAAAAATCTGGAGATTTTCAGAATCATAGCCTTACCCATATTTTACATTTAAATGTATGGATTGTCACTGTCATGTTTCTTAGGTATTCCCCTTTCCCTCTCTTAATTAGTTAGTCTTCGAATTCTTGCTTTCCTTTTACTTGTATTATACCATTCTATTATTCTATTGGCTGACTTGAGTTGTGGGGATCTAACCATAGCAACCTGAGCCTGACTGCTTTGTTGACGCTTCCACTTAAAGAACTGAGCTAAGGGGGAGCCCCCCTATACCATACTATTTGTATTTCTTCTTTTGAGTTCTTATACTACGGAAACTATATGATATTTACAAATGTGTGTCTGGTTTATTTCACTTATGTGTATATCTTCAAATGGCATTCACTTCAATATAAAGGCTTCGAGTTTATCATTATTTCTTTTTTTGGCAAAACGAGGGATTGAACTCAGGCCCTTGAGCTTGCCATGGAAGCGCTTATTCCACTGAGCCATCTCCCCGGATCATGAGTTTATCATTCTTTATAGCTGAGTAATACTCCATTGTGTAAAAACACCACATCTTTTTCAACCATTCCTCAGGTGATGGGAATATTGGTTGCTTCCGAGATTTGGCTATCACAAATTGTGCTGCAATAAACATAGGCACTCATATATCCCTATGATATGATGTTTTCAGATACTCTGGGAAAATTCCCAGTAGAGGAATAGCTGGTTTAAATGGGATTTCCAGTCCAAATTTTCTAAGTAGTCTCCACCCTGATTTCCATAAAGGTTGCACCTGTCTACATTCCCACCAGCAGGGAAGAAGGGTTCCTTTTTCCCCACAGCCTCTCCAACATTTGTTGTTGGTTGATTTCTTTATGATAGGCCATTATTTCTGGGGTGATATGATATCTCACTGTTGTTTTAATTTGCATTTCACGAATGCCTAGTGATGTGGAACATTTTTTTCATATATTTATTCGCTTTTTAAATTTCAACCTCTGAGAAGTGTGTGTTCATCTCAGATGCCTATTTCTGGACTGGGTCTTTAAATTTTCGGCCCTAGTGTTTTTTAGTTCTTTATAAATTCTAGAGAGCAGATCTTTGTCTAAGTACTTATTTATCAAGGTATTTTCCAAATTTGTGGGTTGTCTTTTCACTTTGCAGGTAATTTCTTTTGGTGTGAAAAAACTCAGTAAGAGCAGGTCACAGTTGTTAATTTTTTTAGTGTTTTCCATGCTATTTCATTTTGGTTCATGAACACTTTGCCTACCCCAATGTCTTCAGGAGTTACTCCTACTTTCTATTTCAGGAGATATAGTGTCTCTGATTTAACGTTTAGATTTTAATCCATTTTGACTTTAGATTCATGCATGGAGATAGACCTCAAGATTTAGTTTAGTGTTACAGACTTCTCTTAGAGTTCAGAGGTGAGTTCCAAAAGGAGAAAGATATCTTGTTCTCCTAACTTAGAATCGAAACCATCATTTCTACATGGAACTGTGAATGCCTTCACAAGACTGGCGAATTGCGTCCCCTAGAAGTCAAGGGGAGAGAAAGAGCGTTTCAAATTCTGATTTGCACATGACCTGAATTCTTGCCGAGCCTGTTGAGTCAGAGCACTGAGATGCAGGAGGCTGTGATTCAAATTCCTGTCCCTTGAGCCTTACCACAATTAAATTGAAAAAATTAAAAATAATTTTTTTCTTTTGCAGAACCAGGAATTGAACTCAGGCATTTGC